TCCTCCTCCTCCTCCTCCTCCTCCTCGTCCGCTTCAACCACCTCCTCCCACCGTCACCGCCTCCTCCACCACCTTCTTTCCCCCGCCCCTGCCTCTCCCGCTTGCTCTCTCGTTCTCTCGTTGTCACAGTGCGCGCTTTGTGGCTTGCATTGCGCTCATTGCCTCACTGGCACTCGTCGTATCGTGCCCAGCAGGAGGCTCGGGCGTCCGTTGCCGGCGACATCGACGGCGCAGTTGCTCGACTACTAGAAAACACGCGCACCAAGACGATCGCCTTGTGAGATCTTATCCGGCATCTTCGATTCCCCGTGTCCTGTCTTTCCCTGCCGCTCGCGGCCAGCAGCCCCGGGCCCATCCTCCCCCCGAGTGACGAGGCTCTCTTGCCTCCCCCAAGCGTGGCTCCCCTGACCCAAGGATGTGTTCCAGCCGGCCGTAGCCGAGGTCGAGTCGGGCTCCTGTGGACCCCATAACCTCAAAGGGCCGCTCGAGCCAAAATCGGGAGGTTGGCGCCGCGCGCTACGCTCGAAAGCGTAAAGCCCCCGTGTATTTATACTCGGGTACGGCCACCCCTCTCCAAGCGTTGTCTCTCACACGGCAATGGACCTGCTCACGGAGATGAGGGTGCCGACGAGGTCGGCGCCGAGGCCACCGGCTGAGAACCTGCCGAGCCAACGTAACAGCGGTCTCTGGTCCAGTAGGTGAGTGCGCTCCTTTGCGTCTATGTAGCGCCGCCGCGACCTTCTCCCCGTTAACTTTTGCCGCCTTGGTGTGCAGCCGAGAGTCGCTCAGTCGCGTTGTTGGACCCCGTCGGAGGCTGGGCTTCCGCTATCCGCGAAGGTGCACTTGACCTTCTGGCCAATCCCTATACCCCCTCTCCCTTGTTGCACCTTAGTGCCTCCTCGTCTATATCTATTTATTTTCCACCTCCTGCGTGCGCAACGCAGCGTATATTTTGAATTTCGACGCGTTTCGTAACGGTTGAAAGTTAATATCAAGCGCTACCATTTATAATTAACTTGCTTATATTTAGTATCATGGCTTATTTTTTGCTCTCTACGTTCAAGAAGGACAAACTAAATAAGATTAATGATAAAGGAAAAAAATAAGGAAAACAACAAGGAACAAAAGAAAACTCATTCACAGCGTGTAAACTGGACACGCCGATCGTTTGTATTTCACTCTGTCGTTGTTGCAAGATATACCACTTTTTTTCTTCTTCCTTGTCTGTCTGTCTGTCTGTCTCTCTCTCTCTCTCTCTCTGATTTTTATGTAACGTTTGTGAAACACAACCAGCCAATGAATCCGTTATAAAATTACTTTCCTTACTTTACTGTCATTCGTATCAATGATACTGCAATAGATAAATATATACCCTTTTACGGTCTATTCTTTTTTTTTTTTTTTTAATTAATTACGCTTTGATAATTATCAAGATTTCTTCCGATACCATTGACTAAATAATAAATTCGACTAATTGTGCGGTTTTTCATTAATAATGATAACGTTTCGTGTAACCTCTCTTTATACTTACTTTTGCGTAATCTAACAAATACTATCGTTTCTTTTCACGATGAAAGTTTTTTTTTTTTTATTATATTATAAGTTTCGGAATGTGTGTGCACGCGCGCTTGCATGTACGATGCGTATATGTATATATGTGTATCTAAAGTGAAATTTCTACACGTCTTATGTGAAGATAAAGGTTTGCATAACACACATTTAAATTTAGATTGAATACTGGTACAACTACTGCCTTTTCTCCAAGTAACTTAAGCTTGTACGCATAACGAATGCATATTCAATTCTCTAAAGATTTTTATCCTTACGGTCGTGATAAGGCGTCGATTAAATTTGTTTAAATTTCAATGGAAATCTCGGGTGATTTCATTATTACTTGTTCGTTCAAAAGAGAAGCATAATCGCCCCCCCCTCCCCACCTCACCCCACCCCGCCCGACCCCTTCCGCGCACACGAAATATTCAGTAAGCTTTGCATGCCTACTTTCATTCGACGACTTTCAGTTACATTGTCGACCATCGTCGGTTCGACACATATCAATACGTACTCATTTAAAGAAAGAAAGTAAATAAATTAACTTTTACTTCTTAGCAACGAGTTTTTCGGCTCCGCGCTGCAGGCGCCCCAGAAAAAGAAGCCACCCCCTCGGCCTCCGCCACCGAAATTCCAAACCAAGCATGTAAATATGGAGGAAAAACCAAAGAAAGCGGTAAGTTTGGAAGCGAAAGGCATTAAAAAAAAAAAAAAAAAAAAAAAAAAAAAAAAAAAATAGCCCTATGGTTCTTATCAAAATATTGTTAAAGGTCCGGCCTACAGAGCTTTTAACGAATTTGTTCGGGCGGCGCGTCTCGAAGCATCAACATCAACAGCAGCATCACCATCTGCAACATCATCACAGCAGCAGCATCACCGCCAGCACCAGTACCAGCAACAATAATAACAACAGCAACGGCAACACTAATATTAGCAATGGCAACCAACCAAATCAATATCATCATCAACAGCAGCAGCAGCAGCAGCAACAACAACAACAACAACAACAACAACAACATCAACGGCTGGTAACACCTAATGGCGTCGCGACGACCTTTCAGCTTTCGGCGCCGAAACTCGATAGCAACAGCAGCGTCTGCCTCATCGACTTGAGTCCCCCAGGCTCACCGACCTTCACGACGCGCTCGAGTAGCGATGGCGTGAGCGTCGACAGCTTCGGCAGCGATGGCAACTCCAATCCTTCCCTCTTCGTCAGCAGTGGTAGTGCCTCCCAAACCGAGAGTGCCTTTGAGGACGATTTCGATTTCTTTGGGAGTCTCTCGAGCAGGAAGCAACAGCAACAGCAACAGCAACAGCAACAGCATCAGCAACAGCATTCCGGAGATCCGTGGCGCATCAGCTGCAGTCAGGATCCTTTCGGCTCTCTCGAGAGCAGCGCGACGAGCTCCAAGACCACCGCCAACACCACCAGCTCTCAGCCGGTACATGACCCTGGCCATCGAATTCTCTACATCTCAGATCTCGCTAAAAGTCAAGCGCGTAATCGAAAGTCTTTCTACTTCCAGTGGCCGGTGACGACGAGTCAACGGGTGAAGGAGGTCGGCGACTCGAGCTTCTTCGCCTTCAACGACGGCGGTCTCTTCGAGCAGGCTCAAGTCCCGAGGAAACCCTTCGTCATGCCGACCATCATTCGGGGAAAGCCGTGCAAGTCGAGCGCCCCCAAGCCCGCCCCCAGCAGGATCATACCCAGGAGCACCAACTACTCGAACGCCCCGCGGTTCCACCCAAGCCAGGAGGCTTCGTTCGCGAAGGACTTCTGGGACGAGGAGGCCTCCTCGCTCCCGATGCCCTCCCAGCCGCCCCCGCCACCGCCGCCCGAATGCATCGCCGAGCTGGAGGACGGTTTGCCGGTGAGGGGTCCGCTCGGTGGCTCGTTATTTCTACGATCGCCGGACATGCGAGTAACGACCGATAAAAGTGACGAGATATCACTCGGGAAACGAGAGTAGCCTCTATACGCCCTTATCTGGGACAGCGGCGACGGCTCACGCGGGTAACAATGGGCCTGGCTGGCGTATAGGGAGCGGATGCTCTCGTATCACCCGATGACTCAGTCGTTCGGCCAATTGTCGAGGCGGAGCAAAGCGGGGCATTCGATAATCGGACGTCGTGTTGTATACTTTCAGGAGAACACGGAGCGTCCCTACGGCGTGGCTCTTTACGATTTTGAGGCATCGCAGGCCGGTGACCTAGATTTAAAGGAGGGCGACGTCGTTTACTTGACCAATCTGATCAACGACAACTGGATGGAGGGACGAGTGGGTGATCGCGAAGGGATATTTCCCGTCAACTTCCTCGACGTCAAGATCCCTCTGCCTGGTCAGAACGCGAATGTCGTCAATGCCCTTTACACATTTAAGGCGGAAATAACGGAGGATCTGTCGTTCGAGGTAATAACGTCATTATAATATTAGCGGAATTTGAGATACGTCGATCGTTGCCGCCTACTACTCGTGCTTTCTCTATTTATTATTCATAATGACGTGGTCTCCTCTCGCTTAGACGTCCAACATTCACCTATGAAAATGAAATTGTTTTGTAGGAAGGGGCGAGAATCAAAGTTTTATCGAGGATATCGGATGATTGGCTGTACGGAGAGTATAATGGCAAAAAGGGACAGTTTCCAGCAAATTTTGTCGATAAAGTTCCGAGTGATCTCCCGAAACATTTATGATGATTAGTTACATTTCAATTAATGGGTCTGAAAGCGACACGTGTAAGTCGGCAAAGGCAAGCTTTCCACTTTCTAATTGAAGTGGTGTTGTCGAGCCGTGACGATATATATATATATATATATATATATATATATATATGTATATGTATATGTATATGTATGTGTATGTGTATATGTACATCGCTACGAATGTTTGTAAAACAAATGCGATGTCAAAGTCGAGCGTTTCGGGGCTATTGTTGTATCGCCAGTGATTGTTTAAATTATCGTGTGCTAGGAAAATACAAACTATAAGCCGCAAGAAAGTACTATAGTTACTAATTTTGTAAAAGTAAATGAGCGACTTGTCGTTCTTGATCTTAGAGCGAATTTACTCTGATTAGTCATAAAAAAGAAAAAATCAGTCAAAACTATAAATACCTGGAATATTATCTTGTTGGGTTGAAATTTTAAATAGCCGGTAATTGGTATTGTTAATCGTATCGTTTAAGACTAATTTAAATAGCAAATTTGTAATTTAACTTTTGTAGCTCTAGAGACGAAAGAGGGAGGGTATTCTGTAAATATTTGCTAATTATTGAAAATCATGTAAGTGATTAATGTAAGAAAGGTGAAAAGCCAAATAACATATTGTAAAATAAAAATCTTTCGTTCATTTACATTTAACGCTTGCATAAAGTAACACGTGGTGATCAATGTCTGTGCGAGATGAATTTGTCATTTGAGGCGTTTCACGTCCCAGCGAGAGATTATTATATGATATCATTGTGAATTGATGCTAACCACAATTTTCACGGTCATAATAATTCTGTCCTCAGCAGCAAATTTACTGATTTATGATAACACAATTGATTACTACTATACGATGACTATGTTATTTATAAATTTACTTGTATATTTGATTTGCAGTATTAGTATTAAGAATCTGGCATTGTTTTATAAAGACGATAATGGGACCAAAATTCAAATAATTTAAAAGATAATTTAATAATAATAATAATAATCATTAAAAAAAAAAAAACAATAAACAAATAAAAAATACATAAATAAATTAATAATATAAAATAAAAATAAAAAAAATCAACTTTCGCCGTTAACCAAATAAAAAATTAACAGTTATTATCGCTGTAGAAAATCTGTATATTCTAAGAAGTTACGAATTATTTTATCTTTTTTAATAACATAAATTGTGATATTTTAATTTGCTATAATATTAAAATACTTATATTTACGATTTGTTGAATATTTAATCTAATACACCTACTGTAAAAATAATTGTAAAGATCACATAGATACGTCTAATATGATTATTTAGTCGTATACCTTAGAATTTAACACATTTATAAAATATTTATATTTTTGGATTTATTTAAAATTACATTCTCAGTGTGCGTGCGTGCGTGCGCGCGCGCGCGCGCACGTATATGTAATATGTATATGTATATACCAAGAATAGCTTTTTTAAGTTATTTAATTATTCAGAATTTTAATACATGTGCATGATATTGTATGTTTAACTTGAAATTCTTTTTATATTCCATGAAGTCGCTGAAAAATAACTCATAACATAAAAGGAAAACGATTTATAAACACAATTGAATAGCAATATCTTTTAATATTTATAAAATTATAATGTATATTTGAAAAATTGTAAAGCAGCTGAATGTTTAAATTTTCAATGTTTCGTTTAATATCCACTTGACTAATTTCATAAATTAAAAATAATTATTACATACATAAAATTGCTAATAATGTCAATATGGCTATATATAAGTATTCCATTCATAAATAATTGATTTTCTAATGCCAAGTGGTAAGATAAATATCACGTGTTTCAAATTAGCTATTAAGGAATGAATTGTTTTAGTTGTTAAACTTAATATTGTTATAAGCATAATTAGCTATTCAATTAATAATATAAATTTTTCTACAGCTTTTGTATGGAAAGGAAGAATAATGAAGTACAGGATGATCCGCTTATAAACGCACGAAAGTTAAATTTACGATTAAAATCAATATGAACAGAACAAATACAAAACAAAGATTCTTTGTACTGAAAATCTTATTTATTAATAATAATTAATGAATGTTTAAAGCTTCGAATGCTCTGACTTTTATTCTTCAATCAAATTACAAAGCCTCGATAATTCCATTTTGAGCATATTTTTTTAACGTACTTTATAATCATCATACTTAAAAAATTCTTGATAACCGTAAGCATATCGGAAGAATGATGTAAATATTTATTTTACTTTATCATGGAATTAAGCAGATTCTTAAGAAATGCCATATTAAGGATTACAATGTTAAAAATATCAATAATTTTAAAATTTAATTTCCAATTTCAAGATGCGATCTGTAAAATCTGATATGAATAATTTTTATATTCATTACATTCTTAACGAATGAAAGTTTTTTTTTTTTTTTTTTTTTTTTTTTTTTTTTTTTTTTTTTTTTAATAATCATAAGTATGGAAATTATATTGTAGACTTGTCTTGTAATAATTTTATTATTCTGTGATGAATTTCAAATTTTACTCAATTAAAACGAATATTGGAAAGCATCGTAACATTTATTAAATTATGAACGAATTAGTCTTTTAAGGACTAATGCCATGCCTTTAAGATCCCGTCTATTTAGACAAAATCAATAAATATGTATATATATATATATATGAATTATATGAAATATGAATTATCTTGAAGTAACTTTTAGATAACTTTGATAATTTTTAGAATGTCGAGTGTTTCTCTTAAGTAAGATATCTATGAATAATTGTGCATTTTGTACTCGCAATTAGAATTTTATATAACACACTAGTTAGTAGCTCGTAATACTTATAATACTCGAATAAGAATGATATCGGGAATGCATTGTGAATACTTCCAATTGCGATAATTTAGTGGCAATCGTCACGTAACTGCATAAATTCAAATGATTTCGCGGCACGAGAGAGGAAAAATGGCAAATAACTGAAATTATTCTCTTACGGCAGGGCAAATGAATTTGGCAGTTGACCTACATAGACATTGCGAGGGGATAGTAAATGGCATGGAAAGATGGTCGGGTTAATTGTCAGTAAATCGATGAAATAAAAGTATTTTAGCATTAGACCGACATTTACAAAATTGGATCCCCAAAACATTCTCCGTTAGAACGAAGCAGCAGTTTACCTAAATTTTCGCAACATCGGAGCCGCAAAGAGTGCGTGCTTTACACTTAAACGAATGCCCGATTTTAAATAGCTTTGTTCACACACGCTTTCCCAAGGGCCATAAACGAGCTAAATTTAAAAGTCAAAGCTATGAAATTACGAAATATCGTGGCTGCAGCAAATTTTCAAACGCCGTGGTTAATATAACTCTACGAGCTATTGAGTTATAAAGCTCGAATATAAACTTTTCCTCGGTCTGCTTATCGACTATTTTTAAACTGCAAGTGAAATGTGTGCGTGGGCGAATGCTATGAGAATCTCCGAGAAGAGCATATGCGATTATTTTTAATTGGCCTGTAGGATCGTAAGCTAACTGGCCGGTCGATTATTTCGGTGACTCGGGAGTATCAGTCGCCGATAAACTGCCAGCTATGGTGGCCATTCGTTGATGATAAAAAAAAAAAAAAAAAAAAAAAAAAAAAGCCGATGCTTGAATTGCGGGGAAAACGACAGTTTAATTAGTCTCGGAGATTAGAGACTACATTATGACTAATCATTCAGGCCATTATTATTCCCGCGTCATTCTTTATAAATACTTTGCTTTTGGGGTTGATGTGCCGATAAATCCGCAATGCGTGCGTCGTGGCGATGCGCTTGCGATGCTTTTAACGACCAATCTTTCGGCAATGAGTGGCGTTGCGGTGTCGCGATAGGCGAAACGAAGCGCACTTGCGTACGAGTGTGCAATGACATTGTCATAAAAATTCGGACGCAATGGAACTAGAATGGCCGAGGGAACGAGGTCCGTTAAAATCGGTAAGCGACACTTTGGTCCATCGCCGCTCGTCACGATGAATACGTCGATTAAGCAATGAAGTCTGGCCGGCGTAAGAGCATCTTTCCGAATAGAGGTCATTCGCGATATAAGCCGCGAGTACTTGGAGCGTAGCGAGACACAACAATCAGAGGGAATTGCACGGTGTCATTGAGCCGTTTGAGTGATAAGGGGCGAAGAGTAAAAAAAAATCGTAAAGAAAAGATGGACGAAGTGAGGAGATGCGCCCGTAGCAAGTGGACACCGAGCGTGTCGTCTCGGCTCGATTCGTTCACGTTGGCTCTCCTAGCCAAGCGAATCAACCACTAATTTGATTATTGAATCGCCGAATCTCGTGGTGCCTCTCTCTCTCTCTCTCTCTCTCTCTATCTCTCTCTATCTATCTTCTATCTATCTATCCATCTATCTCTATATATATATATATATCTCTCTCTCTCTCTCTCTATCTGAAATTGCGGAAAAGGCCCAGTCCAAGAAATCCGAGTCGACCGTGGTGCACTGGGCGACTCGCAAGACTCTCTTAATGCAGCGCCCGTAAACATTCGCAAATTTATTCGCTAATAACTACTATTCGTACCGACTAATCAACCGCTTACATCTGGCCATTAATATTTTTTTCCGCATAATTATCCGCTGCCAAATTAATATTCCTCGTTAGTCGATTGAGCGTCGAGCGAGTGGCATTGGGTCATAAATGTAATAATTAAATTGTCGTAAAGTTTGCTTTTTGCGACTCGTCCCATCGACTTGCCGCTACAATCTCACAAATGAGATAAACAAATCAATAATAACGAACGCTCGCTGTAGCCGCGTAAACAATGTTGCGATAAACAAATCCGTAAATTACAACGTGCACGACGACATTCAAGCGGTCGCGATCTCTACCAAATTATCGCAAAGGCTAATAGCCGTTGTGGCAACCCGCTCTCTCTCTCCCTCCCACTCGCTCGTTATCGAGTTCCCGAGAGACGGCTCCTTCGGACTCGACTCGGAAACGTCTACGCTTGCCGAGGACCGAGCCATGACTTGGAAAAAAAAAAAAAGAAAAAAAAACTACGCTCTCTCAACGTCTCGAGAGAA